ATGATACCTTCATCAGCCATGCGCTTAATTTCGGTACCAACGTCTGCTTCCAAAGCCTGGGCGATCGGGTGTTGTTTCTGGCTGCGAGACTGGCCGTTGGTTGGTATGCGGATGGGTCGGATAAATGTGCCTTTGCTGCTGCTTTCGGTTCCTATAATGTCAGTGTAGCGAATAAGTTTGCAGTGGCCTTTAGTTCGTCTCGGTTCGGGTGGTTTAGTAGCGACAGCCCCGTGTTATGCTTTAGCCAGGTTAGCTTTTGATCCAATGTCTGGATGTTGTAGTTCCATAGTAGGCTGTTTTTTTATGACGTCAGCTTGGGCGCCATATGCTGGATCGTTGGTTGACGATGACGGTGATATGATTGCGGCTGTGAGTGTTGTGTATCCTGAGGAAAGTGTGCGTCTGAATTCTATAGTCGCGTTTTGGTTGTCGATTAGATACGAATCGAGCATGTTGTGACATAGGATATTTTGACCGATCAGGATCGGTGTGATTTGGGTAGTTACCAGCACGTTAACCTTTTTGAATGTGGGTGAGTTTCGACTGCCGATGGTGATGTTACTATGACGTCGGAGCAGGTCATGTGTTTCTTGGCTTCTCTGGGTAACTGAGATATTGGTAAGATGCAGGTGGAGTATCCAGAGTCTAGCATTGCGACGCCAGAGAAGGTGATATCCCTGAAGTTGAAGGTGGACTGGACGAGCGGTGAATGGTGAGCGAGTCCTTGAAAGTTGAAGGTGTGATGGCTGATGTAGGGGCAAGGCGAACGAGGCATCACATCTCGTCCTGCCCGAAGCGAAAATCCTGTTCCACATCATTTATGGCTTGTATATTATCATTCGTTGCGGCGATATGGGCCTGTGCCCGAGTGTGAGGTGGGTGGCGATATAGGCAGTTGCGTACATGGAGGCAGGGGAGACCTCTGAGGTAGTTCTTGCATACGCTGATTCGTGGTGTGTGCTGATGGTTTCTGCGTGTCGGATGGTGGCCATGTTCGGGAGAGTTGGTGAGGCCCGTCTGCTGTGGGTTTGGTTGCCTGCTGGGTCGGAGTGGCGCGTTTCTTTAGTTTGACCGCTGTGGTTTCTGTGTGAAATACAGTGTCGTGTGGAGTCGTGTCGTTGGATTTTACACCGCGATCAAGGTATCTTTGAGCTTCGGAGGCTATGCCAATGGCTAAATAGTGGTTGTGCATTGTCTTGACAAGATGTGGGTAAAGATTTGAGTTCCAAATTTTTCACCTTTTCGCTCATTAGCACAGCGCCGATGATGGAAATAAGTCCATCGACTGTTAAGTCTGTATTTTTGTCTTTTGTGTATTTGTTTTTTATGTGGACGGCTGCCTCTCTAAGGGTGTTTTCGAGTCGACCCGCGAAGTCTGTTAATTTTTCGCCATCTTGCCGTTCCAAATCCCTGGCTTGACTGAGGTGTTGGAAGTTAGTCATCTGGCTTCCCTGAGCTCCTAATATGTATTCCCTCAGTTGTTCGAAAGTGGATATGTCTTTTTTTTGAGTCAACCATCTGCTGAAAGATACTTTGGTCCAGTAAGTCTTTAGCAGACTTGACGAATACGCATTCCAGGCTGGGATAGGTGCTGAGTTCTGGCGTGACGTGGATTGTGTATGCTTTGTTTAGGGCCGTGATGAATCGGTTCACGTCGTGTCCAGGGTGAAAAGTTCTCTCTAGCTTCAATATGTCGCGTATAGTTTGTTGGCGCATCATTAAGCTGTAATCGCCGTTTGTTTGAACGGTGGGAGGTGTTAAAGTAGTTGATTTTAGGGCAGTCAGCATGTCGTTTATGTCGGCTTGAATTTCTTGTATCGTGGCTTCGGAAGGCTGTGTTGGTCCCGTTTTCAAGTTGAATTGTAATGTTTTCTGTTCCTTGATGAGAGTAAATAGTTCGGCTCGGGTGAAGCTCGTGTAGTCGTCCATATTTCTCTTGCTGTACGCTTCTAACCCCACTGTTATAGACAAGCGTATGGTTGCAAGAAAGAAATACGACAACAGCAGAATAGATCTACGTGATTTATTTCAATAGGAACGTGTGGGTTTGGGACAGCTACCTTGTGCTATAGTTCATAAGCCGGCTGCTGATCTGGGTTGATCTCTCATTGTAGTTCTCACTGGTTGGCGTGGCGCTCCTCCTGCTGACAGCTGCTGACTGACCTTGGCCTCCTGTTGACTGCTGTTGTACTTCACCGTGTGACCCCTTTTTATGGCGTTTTTTATGGCTTAACAGGCCCGAAAAACGACGCGAGTATAGTTAGGAGGGAAGCATTTTTATTGGTCGAAAAATAGAAACACTTTAAAATATTATTTTATTTTCGACCGGAACTTGTGCGTCGGGCCTATGCGTAAACGACGATAATGGTCATTTTGTGACGGGGCCTTGTCCCGTTCACATCCGGCCTTCGCTTTTGAGTATGTTAGTTTATTTGCCTGCAAATCAGCCGAGATATGTCTTATTTTATTTTATAACACGCCCATTGTGGCTGTCTTGACTGAATAAAAAAAAGGGAATATTTCACTTTATTTTTATTCTATTCAAAATCATGGAAAGCGATTATAATTTTCCTTTCATAGACTAACAACTGTGGATGTCAGTTTTATGTTATTTTTACAAGTACAAATTTGTACAAAAAGTCGATCAAAGAAGAAGAAAGATTTGAATTTCGATATTATTTTTTCTAACCAATCAAAAGTTAATAAAAAAGAAAATGAATACGATTAACCAATCAATGACCAAGTGCTTTAAAAACAATTTTGGAACAGATGAATTTCCTATAAATTGCTACTTTCCCTGTAATCAAATGATTTTCAGAAGTTATATCCAGTTTACTTCACAACAACTCGACTTCTGCTTTCTTTCATTTCTTTTTTGTTGTTGAGATGAAAGTGAACACATTTGGTACAAGGACTTTTTTTTCGTATAGGCCATCGTAAAAAATGTCCTCTTTTCAGTTTGCTATAAGAAATGTTATCCATTAATTTGTTATAACGAATTCTAGATGTCAAATTCTATTATGGTAGTCAATGACTTCATAATAAAATTGCTATTAAGAAGCCAATATTACGGACCTATAATTTCTACTGCCTACAATACTATCCCCAAACATTACTCTACCATTCTTCGAAGTTATGTTGGTTGACTATTTCTATGAAAGATACGAAGAAAAGCTTAAATTATTCGAAAAATTTGAAATGTTAATGACTCTTCTAAAAGTAAGAAAATTTTGTTATTGTAATAAAAGTCTAATTCTCTTTAATATTTACTCTCCAATTTGTATCCGTTGACCATATTTAAACTAGTGGTTTACGCAGAGCCGCACATTATGCACCTCAATACAACAAATTCAACAATAAATTGCCTGCAACTTTGAGAAAAATCATTAACATTCCAAATTATGACAAAACAAAAGAATTCCTGAATGTTTTTGATGTTGTTTCGACCAGTCCATTCTTCCATCTTCAGTGGTCAGTATAATCCGCAAGGACAGATGAAACGAGTTCTGAAAAAATAATGGAAAATTCAACAAAATATTAACATAGCTAAAATAAAAACATCAAATGAAAAGAATCAAATAATTGTCGGATTTTAATGAAACTTTCGGGGCTTATTCATGAATGAATGAAATCATTTTAGAAATCTTCCTTTGCACCCCCCCACTTATTTAATTTCATGAAATTTTGATGAATTCATTTTTGTACTGCTGAATGTTTATATTAGTTATAAGATATATTATGGATGCTATTGTCTTAAGAAAAACATTTTTCGATAAATAATTAATTTTTACAAGAATTGCTTTCAGTTTTAAAAAATTAATTATAAAGTTTTATAAAGTTTTAAACCTTTTAAAATTCTGTATTAATTTATAGCGGTTAAGTGATATTGTCAGGTAAAAACTGTATTTACTGATCATAAACTGTGTTTACTAATCATAAATGATAATGCTTATTCCAATTCCCTCAGTATTTTAAAAAGAAAATATTTTGAACTTTTTTGTGTGATTATAAACATGCCGATTTTTCCAAATACGTATGTCAATACACGATATTATCAGAGAATATGAGCGGTAACTATAGTAATTTAAAGCCAAAGTACCTAAAATTCAATAAAATATTAGATTACTTAAAATATTTTCCTAATTTTTAAAAATTACTGGGTAGTTAAAAATTATTTAAAAAAGCTGCTCACGTCCCCTAACAGCACGTCTCTGATTAAAATGTTAAACTATTGTTATGACTTCAAACAAATGACTCCTTTAGATCTTAAAGTAGACAGTCGTTCACCAGATCTTATAGAATGACACTACAAAATCACAAAAAGCTTTACCAAATGACAAAAACCACATCACTTGAACACGTCCAACATCAGCAATAATTAAAATGGATAGCATGTGTAACTAGAAGGGATAATAGTGATATAATCAAGATGGTTTCATTTTCCACATTGCTTTAAACAAAAGGTTAGGAAGGAAACTCCCATCAATACTAGAAAGAGCGATAATGATGGAATTGAGAAACCTATTTTTCATAAAAATATTTTTTACAAATTTCAACCAACAGAAACAGTTAATCTAACCATTATCTATTTCCCTTATTGTTGGAAATGTTATTATTTCTATAACAGAAAAATCAAAATAAATGGTAGTAAAAAAAAACGCTGACAAATCATAAGAAACTGTCTCAAACAATGCTTGAAAATATTGCGTTGGTCAAAAACTTCGTTCGGTTTGAAAGTAAATTTTCTAATTAATAAAGCGAGTGAAATATTTGGCCAATAAATACAATAAAAAATAAAATAAAATATTGTTCAAAAGTATATATAAAGGAAAGTACACTGTAAAATATCTAAACATAAAGTTGACCTACTTGTTTTCTAAGACGATGACTTTGAACAGGAATTGGTTTAGTCCTTCTAAATTTATGTATGTATTTGCATAAATGTTTAGGAGCCGTATCACTGCCGTGTATGTTTATTATGAACGTTATCTATTTCCCAGCGGCCCAAGTTGGTGCTGACACTTTGTACAAAAAATTGGAGGAACTGACCGATATTCCTGACCTCTCGACTCAACAGAATGGAGTCAACATCACATTAGGCAAGTAAGTATCTACTCTACCATTTGGTAACTGTCTGATGTTAAACTTTTATTTATATTTTGCACATTCCTGAAATATTTATGCGAAAAAATCGGGTCTCATCTGCAGAAAGCTGAAGTGGGTTTTATCATCTTTTAATTTACAAATACTTTTCGTACACTTTTATCAATATGAGAATTCTTTATGAGATCAAATAAGAAAGAACTATGGATGCTTTGCCAATGAAAAGAACACTCGAACGAAGCCCATTATAAATCTTTCTAATTATTAATAATTAAATAATTCATCTAGTTCAAACGAAAGTATGTTATATGCCCATATCGTTACAAGACAGCGAAAATCATTTTACTATTTCGTACCTGTCGAATTGGCTCAATTCAAAATAATCAAATTTAAAATCTAAAGTCTAAATTGTATTTCAGCATATGCTTTTATCTTTTTACGAGTAGATGTTCGCTTCTATATAGTTGTGTGTGTGTGTGCGTGTGTGTGCACGTCTGCGTTTGAACATATATTTTTTTTATAATGACGTTCACTCTATACAAGGCCCGATCAGCAATGTTGGAATGTCACTAGTTTGCTTTTCGAGGCATTGAATGTGACCAACCCCACTGAGCTGTTAGAGCTCGGTCAGAGTAGAGATCTGCTGCCAAGTTCTGGTCATCTCGTTATATTTTAATTAAATGACAGATCCAAAGGTATTCTTTCGAAATTAAAATAAATAAATAAATAATTCTATTTATTATCGAATTGCAACGTGTACGCTTGGAAGAAAGATTTGTTCTCCCATTTACGTTTCTCCCGGTATGAGCATTATTATATCCATGATACAATAACACCGAATTTCACTGACGGAACGGAACAGATCGGCTGAAAGGAAAAAGAACGACAAACAGGCTTTGTTCTCAGAGAGACTTTTATATTACAAAACTAATACATATATACACGTGTCACAGAGAATAATACAGGGTGCGATGGATAAATTGTCGTCTAAATTTCGCAAAAATGAAAACAACGCTGACATCTCATTATAAGAGATATATATTTACCAAAATTACACAAAAATATTTTTAAATACTAAAGAGTAAATTTATTCAATAAAATCGTTATTAGCTTCAATCACAGCCTCCAGACGACTTCTGAATCTTTTGCGACTCTTCTGGACGGTTTCCTTGTTTTAGTCGGTGAATGCTACCATAATCCTTGCCTTCAGGTCATCTTTGGTGTTACAAGGAATTTTGTTGGTCTCTCACTCAACTGCACCCCACACATAATAATCAAGGAGTTAGATGGCCAGATGTAAGGGGTGATGTGGTCGCAGGAATTGTCTGACAGCTATGACTGGGTTCTCCTGTTGCCAGACATAGAGTCTTCCTTCTTGACCCAGGGCAGTGCTACCTCCCCAAGACACTTGATGTAGGCCGCTGTGATGAGTCTGAGGCCTTCACCAACAAATTTGGGAGTTCTTTTCTTATCAGAGTAAGTTTTTCAAGCTGCTATACGTTCGTAATCACCGTCATACTCTTTCCGAATCCTCTGCACGGTCCTAACATTGACACCCAAATACTCTGAAATGGTCGTATTGGTGCTTCCGGTTTGAATGTCAAATAGTACAGCTTGCCGTTTCCAAATTTCTGCCCGAGTGAATTACGTCATGGTGCTTTTTTAATCACAGACGGTACCCAATTGACCCTACTCTACTGTGCAGTCAACAAAATCAAAAACAAACAACGCGCATGTGCAAAATCAAAAATATATAATGGCGACAATTTATCAATCGCACCCTGTATAAGCAAAGTGTAAGTAGAAACAAAAGAAAGGGTCTTACATATCCTTACAGAATAATTTCCGAAATGTTCAATAAAATGTTGTAATTATCTTTTTTTATTTTTATCTTTATGATTTTATTGCTCAGTGTAGAGTAGGAGCTGTTCATAGTGAGTAAGAAAGGAATGTATTATTTCAATGTCTTATTTCAAACTCAATCAAATTGTGTGTGTATGTGTATATGTGGGCGTGTTTGTGTGTACATTAAATAGCAAAATAACATGTAAGTCACTCATGCACAACACAGACATACGCATATGCAAAATCACACGCAGACAGTGTGTGACGGACAGAGAATCGGTTCTTCTTTTATGATATATAGATTTTATGGTTTTTCCTATCATGACTATTATTCGGCGTTCATATATGATTATAAAAAAAAAATACAATAAACAATGTATGAATGGCTTCTGTTTGGCTTTACGTTTTAAAAAAAATCATTAAAATTATTTAAAATGTCTTTTGATATCGATTTAAATTTAACTCTATTTTTATTATTTAGTAATTTGAAAATGTATCCTGGCAATAAAAAAGAAGACATTATCAGAATATATTTTTTACTAAAAATACCTATGAAAATTTCACAGTTTTTCTATTTTACTTTTCTGATGAACCTTAATTATAAAGCTAATGATTTAATAAGCTCCTTCGAAATTCTCCTACTGCCCCATTAAATATTTGAGCTTAACAACTTTAAAAATATTACAATAACAATAATAAATATTCTATTTCTTTCTTTTTTTTTTCCTTTTTCTGAAATTGAAGATGCCCTTTGATATATCTTTTCTTCCGTCTATCCTTGCAATCAAACAGAAATGTCCGTATTGTTTATCTGAGGTAACGGCAGAGCATAATGTACGTGATAAAAGAAAGTAACTTAGGACCAAACAGAATTATAATATATTTTATATTTCTTTTCAGTCTCTCCATTGTCGACTTTTCCCGGCCAATAGGACACGCAGAACTTATTCCCGATCATGGAATTCGATGGATTCTTCTTATAAATGAAGCCGTGGTCTATGGATTTTGGAGATACGCTACAACAGGCTGGTAAACAAGCCTCCATGATTTTTGTTTGTTTGTTTTTTTAGCATATTTTTTTTTTGTTATGAAAGAAAGAGTTTCTTCACATATGCTAAGGTATTTTTTTTATATTATGGGCTAATATTATATCTCTTCTCAGTGGATCTGTTATGAGAGCCAACGGGAAATAACAAAACTTCATTAACCCACAAAAGATAATTTACGTACACAAATTACTTTTAAACAAATAATCACTGTCACCAAATAATGATCACCTGAGAAAAAATTTAAATAAATATGTACAGGTTAATTGTCACTCATTGGAACCTGTATGATGTCGGATATTTTGCTGGATATTTGTCTGACAGAATATCTCAACCCAACAACTAAGCACTTCATCTAACATTTAAAATACCCTTTAAATCAGTAAATGTTGGTTAATAAAAGAAAAAGAAAAATTAAATAAAAATCAAGTGAAATTCTTTTATCAGGTAAAATAAAAGTCACAAGTGATTTTATTGATTTACATAAGAAAATTAATCTGAATTCCGATCTTATCTTTTATGGACAACGAAATACTGTTTGTGCTTCACACGACAAGAAGCACCTCCTCCATTCATATAGACCCATGACTGAGGCTAAATGTTTGCAGGTTATAACAAAAATGCACAAAAGACAAGTTGACAGGCCTTATGAATCCACCCCTTCTCCCCGAGCTATGGGTTAATTACTAAGACTTGTGTCATTAAGCCAAAAATAAAATAAAATTGTATACAAAATATTTAGATTTCGGTATTAAATAACCTGCAAATTGTTGATATGACGCTAAACAAAACCAACCCACCAACTACTACTACTAAAAGTCCTTGTTGGAGAAGAATTATTTTCCACCCTCCAACCTCCCTCTCACAGATTAGATGTGGCGAGTCCCTCACTGCTCTGTCGCTGGTACCATGGAAAGTGCTCGAATGAATTACATTCTTTGGTTCAGCCAGGTCTAACCTTCATGGCTAGGACCCACCATGACACTTACATAGTAGCAAACCACCCACATTCCATCGACGAGAAGTAAGTTCCACTCAAACAGCTTCTTCCCGTAAACCACTACCCTATGGAAGAGACTCGCAAGAGGATGTTTCCCCGATCACTACAATCTTAACCTGTTCAATCTTTATCTTCCCCTCCTATCCATATAAACTACCCCTTAACGTAACCTTCTACCTCGAGTGGTTCCCAGGCCTTGCACAGGGTAAACCTTACTGCAATTTTCTTTTTAAATCATCATGGTTTAATTCGTTTATAAAATATTATTTTATTTTAGAATGATCCAAAAGAATTTTAGATATTCTGTTACATTTTAGTCTAAGAACGAGTTTATTTTGAATTTATGTTTCGTTTATACGCATTGTGTTGATCCGCTTTTTAGTATTATTCCCTCTACAGTCAATCTTAACGTTGCCTACAGTAGAAAGTATTTTGTCTTAATTTTTCAGGCAAAATTTCCTGCAATTCTATCTTCTGTTTCTTCGTTGAAGTTAGAAACTTAAATATTGATTATAAATATTGTCCATTTACAGGTTTTCACTGCAGGACGAAGGAAACTTTCAAGTCACTCTATCGGAAACCACTCTGAATATAACAGCAGAAATCAGTTAAGTATAATTAAAAAAAAAATCGCATAGAATTGATGAAAAAAACTAAAAACTTATTTTCGATATATATAAAAATATTGTCTTGCGTTTCCATGAAACATCTTTTGGTACATAATAATTTTTATTTAATTATTTTATTTGCTTAGGTATTTTAAAAGGTCCATTTTCGACAATTCAATTTTACTTCCCACCCTATTCATGAGTTAGTCTCAAAATATATTTGATGTTTTCATATCCTCTGCGTTGCTGAGATGTCATCTTTATCGTTTCAGCGCGAAATAAAAAGGGTGGTCTTGCAATTGCCGTATCCGACTGTGAAAGTGAAATCAACTTCGAGATGAATCTGGGGAGTTGGATATACAACATGGTTGCCTCTTTAGCGAAACCTTTCCTCGGCCAAACTTTAGAAGACAAGGTAAAATTACTGTCTGAATTTTGTTAGACAAGATATTTTAATAATTGTGTGTCAGTCTAAGAGAAGCTCCGGAGAATATTCTGTCTGTATAAGATTAGGATAATATTTTAAAAACGGCATCTTCTTCTTCATGTGTCGTGTCCTCTCAAGGTGAAGGCGATCATGGCTCTCCACAATTTTCTGTCCGTTCCAGCTCTAAATAAATTCTTTTTTTTATCTCTTAACCCTGTTACACCACCCATTTTCTCAAAGTCGTCAAGTATTTTCTGCCTTTTTTGCTCTGTCTTTCTTGCACTCAATCTGTCTGATGAGTAACAGATTTTCCAAGCCCTCCTTCCTCATTGTGTGACCCAGAAATTTTAACTGTCTCTTCCTGATGTTAAGTATAAGTTTTCTATTTGTTTCTATTTTCTCTAAAACCACGTCGTTACTTACATGTTCGGTCCATGGCATCATCAGAATCTTTTGTTGTATAGAACCTCATGTTGGTAGGTCAACGGCGCCGATTTAATTATATGTCACATGTTCTATCTCTCGTCTTCTCCCGGCCGGGAATTGCAAAATGTTTTCGGTCCAGAGATTAAATAATTTCAACACAGCGAATTTTAACTTATCTAGTTTTATTAATGTACTAATTATCCAGTGGGGGTTGTTCCTCCTCACTGGGGAGACGTTTCAGGCACGAAGGAGAACACGTCTATATTGCTTGACGGTTAAGACTTGATTCTCTGAAAAATTATTCTCAGTCAATCAAATCCGACTTCCTTAGTATGTCTTCCATCTGACCTCGAATGTCAGCCTCCGGAAGTAGGAGCTAAGGTAGACTTCTACAAAAAAATAAGTCTGCTAAACTATTATTTAACACTTTCTGTAGTACCACATTTTTGTTGCTTCAAGTCTCTTCTTTATCTGTGAGGAGATTATCCAGCATTCACTGGCATACAGTAGGACAGATATCACGTCGCTGTGCAGTGCTCTTTTCTTTGTAGCTAACGAAGATTTCTGTCTCTTAATACTCTGCTTAGCTTTTGGAATGATTCTTTGGCCATCCCAATGCGTATTTGGATTTCGATGTCGCGTTTTTCTGTTAGAACACTTCTGGGATATTTAAATTTTTGTGTTTGGTACATCCGATTTGTAATTTGCATTTTGAGCTCATTCTTTTGAAAATAATCATGTATTCTGTCTTCTTGCAGTTTATGTTTAGTCCTTTATTCTCGCTTTCCTTCACTACCTTCTGTAGAAGCTTTTGTAGTTTTCTTTCCGTGTCTGCTATCAAGACTGTATCATCTGCATATCTTATGTTGTTAAGATTGTGGCCCCCAATACTGGATTTTGGTAGGACTTCTAATTCTCTCAATTCTCTCATCTAATTCTCAATTCACGCTGTATAGGTTGAATAAGTCCGGTAAGAAGACCTATCCTTGTCTTACACCACTTGCTACTTTGTATATCTGCTGAACTCATTTTCTATCGGTATGTAGGCGGTTTGCTGCCAGTACAGGTTCAGGTTGCTGTACTGTTTCAATAGATCTTTGTGGTTATTTTATCAGATGCCTTTGCATCATCTATAAAGCACAGGTACACATCCTTCTGCATTTGTATTGTATCTAGTACTATCTTTGGTCTGATTCTGCTTCGCGCTCTATTTATCAGAATTTGGATGACGAGTTTTGTTATATGCTCATTAGGCTGATTGTCCGATGGAGTTCACATTCGTTTGAATCTAATTTCTTCGGCAGTACTATGAAAATCTCGTTAGTTCTTCCAGTATATCGCCACTGTTGTAGATTCCATTTATTATTTCTGTAATCTTGTATATGCCGAAACCATCTAAGGCTGCCAACATCTCTATTACAATTCAGTCTGGCCCTGCTGCTTTGTTTCTGTTCAATTTGGCCAGTGCAGCTTCCACTTCGGTTTTTAATATATTCGAACCGTCGATATTTCTGTGTATTACCAGGTCTTCTTTTTCGTCGTGGAAGAGTTCTCCGATATATGCGTTTCATCTCTTAAGTATTTTTTTCTAATATCATAGTTCCGTCATTGGATTTTATGCATCCTATTGATAAGCATGTCTTTTATCCTGTTAGCTCTCTTTTTTATGCATATCTGCTTTATTTGTGATACTCATTCTTTCACTTTCTGCACATTTTTCGTTGAGTCATTCCTCTTTAGTCTGCCTGCATTTGTTCCTTATTTCTTTGTGTCGTGTTCTATATTCTGTTCCCTGTCTTGGCCTTGTGTTTTTTCTCCTTTTCATCATGTCGAGAATACCTCACTAACGTAAAACTGCCACTAGAATAAAATATGGGATTTATCCGTACACCCACATCACAAAAATTTGACACAAGATCAAATTTAATGTAGAATAGAATATGACCAAGAACTGTGTGTACAACATTCCATACAGTTGTGGCAGAGAGTAAATAAGCAAAACCAGACGCTCCATAAAAATAAGATTTTTGAGAGCCATTAATGAAGTGATGAGCTTCAGTTCTCAGAAGAATGTCTCGAGGGAGAGATCTTTTCAAGAAAAAAAGTTTCTCAGCTTTATGCATTCACTAGCAACGTTGCGCGTTTATTATATCAAAATGGCCCCAGTAATGTACAAATTCACGATGAAAATATTATTTGCAATTTAATTTTATTTATTTATTATTATTTTTATTTTATTTTTTGCTATAACTTATTTAAATTTTTGGTATATTTAACTTCACTAAACAAACGCAAGATAGACAATATTCAGCAAACATGGACCTTCGTGACCACAAAAAGTGAGTGTCAAAAGGACGTTTTTCCCATTACACCGTTTTTATTTTAACTACCTTCACTTTTCGCTAATGTTTGTATTAAAATGCGATGATTAGAATTGTAATAAAACCAAAACCTATGATGAAAGTGAATTTATACTTTTTCCTGAGAATTTACAGGAAAAATATTAAACATTATTTATTTATTAGATTGTTTACCTACATTATTTATTATATATTTATTATTATTATTATTATTTGTAATAACAGAAAATCTGCTCTGAATCACAAAACAAACAACAAAACTAAGACATTAATTTCAAAAGTTTTTAATTGCTTCTATGAATAATATATATAATATGGACACTATTGTCTTAAGAGAAATTTTTTTTTGATAAATAATGAATTTTTACAAGAATTGCTTTCATTTTTAAAAAATTTTAATTATAATAATTTATAAGGTTTTAAATCTTTTAAATTTCAGTATTAATTTGTAGCCGTTAAGGTGATATTGATATTAAGTAAAAACTATATTTACTAATCATAAGTGGAAAATCTTATTACAATTCAGAATATCCTAACATTATAAAAGAAAATTTGAATTATTTGGGTATGTGTGCAAACGTGCAGATTTTTCTTAATACTGAAGTCCATACCCGACATAAATTTAATAAAACATTAGTTGACAGAATATTTTCATAATTTTTTAAGATTGCTGGGTAGTTAAAAATTATATAAAAAGTCATATTCCTCAAGTAACTTTTAAATATATCTCCCGTCGGAAAAAAAAATTGATGTACTTTTAAAGTGCCGATAGGCTGTCAGTGAAGTTGTCAATTTAAATAAATACCTCCGTGTTAAAAATGCATTTCTGCGATATTTTAAACTATAAGTAATATTTGTTTCAAATTAGATTAATTAAACTTTAAATCAGCTAATATTTCTCGAATAAAGTTTCAGAAAAGCATATTTTATTTTTGAAAGACATTTTAATAAAGAGAATTATATTGTACTGACAGATGACTATAAATGGCGCTAAAATCAGCGATTAAAAAACTCCTCCCAGTCAATTTAAATTAGTTTTGAAACAGAGCAACTTATTTTGCTTATTGGAAATATTAAATTTAATCTATTAGCTTGAAATTAAAACTAAAATAAAAACTTCAAGAAATATTTTTTTTAATCCATTTTAAACCTTAGGGATCAAGTTTCTTTGGAGGTACTATTACGTATGTGTTAATTTAAAATATCTTTGCTTATATTAAGAGTACATAAATAAATTCTTTATCAAAACCTTCCTTGGAACATACTGATTCAGAATATACATCGTTTTAAGGGTCTAAATATCAAAGGTTTTTTTTTATCTTAAGCATGGCGCATACGTATGCATATGTACACAGACGAATGTCCTTTATGAGAGAACAGATTAATCAATTTTACAAGCCAAAGATTGATCAAAGTTTGATTAAAAGATTCATGGTTAAAAGTCGGAGCTTTTAACTACCAAATCAGTTGTTGTTGTTGTTGTTGTTGTTGTTGTTATCTCGTTAAATTTATGATACGTTGATATCAACTCCACAAAAACTTGTTTTTAATCCATGTTTGAATTTGACATGAACAAATAAATCCATATTGTGAAGAAAATGTTGAAAAGAATGAATTAAAGATTTTCTCTCGCTTTGCATGAGGTTTCAAACACATAAAAAACATTAAAGTGACACTGGGAAAGAAATTGATTTTTTTTTTTAACGGTTTCTTTTTCATGTGTAAAGTAAAAAAAATTCCCTTTTTCTTTCAGTTGTGCGAAATAGCAACAGAAGTAATCCGAGTAGACGCCATGTCTGGATTAAACAGCCTTCCAGGTAAAACAAAAGAAAAGGCAACATCTGCATCTTTCTGTTTTTTTCCTTTTTTAAATTTTTGATTCATTTAAAACATTGAATTGTTTTAGATTGTTGTACCATGTTTATTTCAGAGTGTATTCACTGGCAAATCAATTCAAAATTGTAAACATGTCATTGCTTCCTTTCAGTTAAAAGCTTGAACAAACTGAGAAATATTTATGATTTCCATATGAAACAAAAATAAATGTTTGGATAATTTTTATTTTTATTTTTAATAAGAATTTCTAATTGTATCGAGAAAAGTTGAAATTGTGCCGGTTCTTGTGTTGAATGCTTTATGTTTCATACAATTCGAAAGATTTAAAAGAAAATATTGATATAAATTAATTCTACAAATATTTGTTTTTAAAATAAATATTTATAGAACCATTTTATATCGACTGATAAGACCTTGTATTTGTTTATTTGTGTGTGGGCTTTTTACACAGTGGCGGACTGGCCATGGTGTCAGCCTGCAGGATGGCAAGTGGGATTCTATATCAAATAAAAATACAATAAAGAAACAAAGACAAATGTTTTAGCAATAAAAAGGGGAGAAAAACTCATCTGCACTTTATCAGTTACTCAAGTTCAATGTGAGAGGACATTTTCAAAGCTAAAGTTCATTAAGACACGGTTAAAAAATTTACTCTCTGAGAATTTGGAGTCATACATGTTGCTATGCATTGACAAAGAACTGTGAGATGAATTGTGTGCAAAATTAATTATTGGTAGATTCAAACAATCATGTACCGAACACAAATGATTGCTAGTAATATAGCGAACTGCATATAATGCCCTATTGTATTTTTGAACTCTTACTTATGCAGTAAATTATTTTAAAATGTCAGCCAATTACATAAAATTAAAAAAAAATAATTAAAAAGTTAAATTATAACATTCATTATTTACGTTTGGTATCTGTTGCTAGTAATGTACAGTCCCTGTACACTGCATTTATTCAGAAATACACACTTTTTCCACAAACATTTTAATTGTGCCTTTTTTCCATATGTATTTTTTAAATTTTACTTATTCGTTATGAAAATTAAATGATAGCATTATAGTTGTGGGTGAATCTCCTTTGTTTCCTGGCAATCAATATTTTTAAACCCAGTTCGCCACTGATTTTACGTTATTTTTGACAAAGTATCTCTCATTATATGCTCCTAAATTATTTTTAAATAAGTCGAAACGTAATTTTCGTAGAAACATTAATACGAATAAAGGAATTAAAAAGTATACTGTCTTGATAATAAATGTTTTGAAAAAAGGTTTCTCAATTTTTTTGACAAAGGAACACATAGCATTTCATATTATTAGTCACTTCATATTTTATCGATATATAGAATTAGAATCTAAAAGTATATTTGTTGATTGATGGTAATATCGAGCTTCACAGAAAGAATGCCGTTTCAATCTGCGCAGATGCAAACAGCTGATACGTGTAGGAAATGACAAATTAACAGCTACGTTGCGAGTCTCGACTTTTAAAATGGCTTTTAAAGATGATCTAATAGATAAAGAGAAATGTTTAATAACTGCAGAGATACCAAAAGGTTGGCCAATATCGGAAATTGTGTAAAATAATCGACATCACTAAAGAAGCTAATAGAAAACGTAGGTACTATCAGTTGAGGACTTTGTATCGCATTGTCAAGTAAGAGAGAAATAATTTTTTTTAAATCTGTTATTTCAGCCTATAAAATATTTAGACTTTGTGGTATCAAGGAACTATGGAAAAGTAAAAAGTGTCAAGATCAAAATCCAAACAGGCGAGACCAATTAAAAGAATATCGAATGAAATGGGAAATAAAATACATAAAAACCAATTTTTCAATCAATCCTTTGGCTGGAGAATGTAATTGTAATGGGGTAGACATTTTGTTGAAGTTGTGGTTGCATATCCAAATTACTTTCGAAAGGTTACCACTTGATACGGCTGCGTGTTCAAATCGCGTTTGGGTTTAACATTTGTAACGGTAAGGGGTTAGTTGAATGTCTTCACATTTTTCAAATCAATGAATTGAAAACGTAGGTGGTTCAAACACACACACACACACACACACACACACACACACACACACACACATATATATATATATATATCCTTTGGGGTAAGTAAAACAATGCTCAATGCAATATAACAGAGCTATTAAGTATATATTAATAAATATACATAGTACTCCACGCCGATGTTTTACTCCTTTCAGTCGAGCATTGTTATAGGTGTAATACAACCTTTATGCCTTCTATTCCCCGGAATATGGATCCATTTAACGTGGACTACTCCGCTAAGAACTGGTGTGAGATAGAGAGTGTCATAAAAAGGATGAGGTGGAAACTATTCTTCGCCAAGCATAAATACGATCACATCAACCGGAAGGAAACCGAATTTTTAGGATCTAAGTCCCCCAAATCTCCACCAAATGATGAGCAACTCCTGGGTTTTAAGAGGGGTTATTCTCTTTTATGAATAAGATTAAATTCAGAAATACCACAAATGACCTACAGAAAAAAATGATAAAGACATTGCCACAATCAACAAATCTGATAAGATTATTATAAAGTCAGAAAAAACGATCAACCATCATATCGATGTCGATGCATATCATAAAGTCATTAACAGAGAAGTTTATAAGATTCATAAAACCATGCCTGGTCATTGGAAAAATACCATCAACAGTGAGGCCAGAAATACAATCACTGAGCTAAAAATCGACGATACAGTCCATGTTACATAAACAGGAAGCATTTATCACAGTAAAGAGCCATAAAGAGGATTTCCCACACAAACCACAATATCGACTATCCATCCAAAAATAATGTCGGTAAAATAAGCAAAGCAATCATTGGAAGAGCCTGTAGATATACGAAAAATGTTTTAGGAATCAACCAGTAGCGCAACACAGCCGACGCCATGAGAAGCGTCTGATGATGCTATAAAGCTAGCTAATAATTACTGCCCCATAAGCAACCAAGACATTATTATAATAAAACAGGCATAAAAATCCATTCTATTTCATGATGGTTGCCTGTGGACTAATAGAAACAACCCAGATTTTTGCATTACTATAGGTGTGCTTTACCCGGCGGAGGCTTGTAAATTAGTAGTACTTTGGAAACTAAGGATCATCTTCAATATATAAAAAAACAGGGCTCTATAGAGACACGGTATAATCCTCCTGCGTAAAGCAGCTACACAAAAAATAGACAGTCAAAGAAAAAGCCTGATTAAATTCTTTAAAGAGCACGGTCTGAGTATTACCACCAACACCAACGCTAAAGTCATCAACTTCCTGGGTGTAACCTTAGACCTGTCTAATGGACTTTATAAACCATATACAAAAGACCTATACAACCATAGACACGTCAACAATCAATCTAACCACCACCCTACAATTCTAAACAATTTACATGTTGGTCCAATTTAGGCTTTCCACCAACTATAGCAATAAGGAAATTTTTGACAAGTACAAAAGCAATTATCTAGAACCCTTAAAACAAAGTAACCATGAAGTAAACCTGGAGTATTTAGAAACAAACAGAAAAGATATTAACAATCCACCGTAAAATGTCATCGTAAACGCAATATAATATGGTTTAACCCACTCCTTAGCAGCAATGTCAAAACTAAGATTGGAAATTTTTTCCTGAATTTAATCCATAAGCATTTTAGCTATACCCCAACGCTAAAAAAGATTTTCAATAAAAACAACGTTAAAGTTAGCTATACTTGAGCTAAAAACATTGACCAATATATATCACAGCACAACAATATACTAAACAAGTACTTAACCAACCCACAAGATAAAAGTAACCTCACAACTAACGAATGCAACTGCCGAAAAACAAGACCTGTCCGCTGAACGGCAAGTGCATGGTTTGAGGTATAATCTATAAAGCTAGCATCAAATATGATGGCGATGTCAGATTCTATTTTTCTCCAACTGAAAATCATTGGAAATCACGTTTCTACCATCACCAAATGACATTAAGCAATATTAAATATAGTAACAGCACTGTTCACTCTAAATTCTTCTGGAAAATGAAAAAGCAATAGAAACTCAACGATTACCTAAGATTACGTAACAAAAGCCAAACCTTTCAGCGGAAAAGGTAATAGATGTAATTTATTTCTTCTAGAAAAACTTGTCATCATAAAACATATAGATAACCCTAATTTGTTAAAAAAAAAGAAGTGAATTAATGACCACATGCAGACCTAGAAAGCACATTTACCCAGATTAATATATTAAATTTAAATTTAGATTATAGTACAATTAAATATTTAATAATAAATTAACCAACTACGCCAACGCCGTGAGACCCAGAAATTTAAACCCTATGACGGCCAGTTTATTTATACCTGATAATTGCCTAGTGCATGAAACTCCGACTCGTACTGTATATTTATCAATATATATATATATATATATATATATATATATATATATATATATATATATATATATATATATATATATATTTGAGAAAAAATGTATGACAAAGTATGAAATTGGCTAGATTATATTTAAAAATAAAAAAAATAAAAATTCCCAGCATCCCTCGTTCGTGCGCAATTAGTCCGATGAAGTCCAGTTTGTCATATATTTTCCCAACAATATTGTTCTTGATACATAAAAATTTATATATCATTATCTAAATCAGACGCTCGATCAGGCACATTCGTATGTTATCTAGAATGATCAACAATCTAGACAAGGCCAGCGCACTCAAACTCTCACGATGACTTGTAACTTCGTGTTAGCACAGCTATCGACGGTCCCCCAAGTGTTCCGTCTATCAATTTTACTCATTGGGTCAAACCCGTGGTATGGTTTTCAGGCACTTTCCAGGCCGATAACGCCTGGAAGTCTCCTTCCTTCCTAACAAATCAACCATGGTAAGATTCGAACCCGGGTCTTATGGTCAGAAAGCGAATATTATATATACACGCCCATTATATATACACACACACACGTGTGTGTGTATGTGTGTGTGAAGAGATAGATAGATAGATAGAGAGAGAGAGAGAGAG